CACACACACACACACACACACACACACACACACACACACCATTTATCTCCTATGATCGGTTCAGCCTTGACAATCCTGATAAAACTAGTGAAACGGATGCTAACCTCAGGAGATGGGAAATTTGTGGGCATGCCATCACCCAGAGGAGAGGTGATGAGTGCACTGCCAAGGATGGAGCTCATGTGGCGGGCCATGACTTCCTGCTGTTCCACGCTGCAGTGGTTCTCCAAGGAGAGAATCACTGGATATTGGGATGTCTGAGGAAAAGCAGGCAACCCCCCCCCCAAAACAAACACATATAAGTGTGTTGCTGGATGTTGAGTGAAGACATGCTGGATACCAACAGATGCTAAACATACCTTGAAGGCATGCTCACTGATGGCTTTGATCACATCTTTAAAGAGGATCTTTGAGGTGAGAGTGTAGCCGTGGTAGATCACGGGCTCATTATCCGATCCGTCCCAGCAGTCCAGCTCCACACAGCGGCAGCCTTTCTGCAGAGCCCTGAGAGTGTTGGAGTGCGCATTAGTGACCAAATATGCTGTTTAGACTAACAGTTCCATCAGTGAAACGGCGCAACGTGGCGAGAGATGGTTACAAGAAACTATTTAAAATTCCAAGTTGTAATGAATTGGTCTCAGTGATTCAAGAACTGACAGATTATATGGCACATAAACACAAACTACCCTCACTGCCTGCTTAGCACAATTAACCAAGACATTAAAGGACATCATCATTTTTAGTCTTTGACTCTAGTAGACTAACTTCGCATGACTTGCAGTTCCCTTCCGTTTAAGGTAAATTTCTTCTGATTGGCTGCCCCTCACAAATGCAGGATTTGAACAGATGGGTGGGGTATTTGGAAGACCCCTTCTCTAAGACAGATATATATCAACAGATCAGAGAAATCTGATGTCTGACCTTTGTTCTCGTTATTTTAAGTGTTGGCCATGTTTAATGCTGAGCTTCCACCATTGTAATAACAACTATAGAACTAAAAAACGAGAACAAGTATGAAAGGTCCTATTTAAAGTCAGTAAAAGTGATGGACTTCCTACTGACAAAAACAGTGCTGCTGTCTTTTCATGCCTATTTCATGTTAGTGACTGCACTGTGAGTTAATGTTTTGGGTTGTTTGTTTTGATGGTGCAGCTGAGTGCTTCCAACAGTTATTTTTTAGCTGATCTGGGGTTGAAAAAATGAGATTACATCTCTGTGGTTCCTTTGCACACCGATGGGAAGATGACTAAAGATCAAGTTTGGATAAATAACTAGCCAAAAACTTTCATCAAGGACAAATTACTGAATCTCGGGATGGAAAGTGTTACCTAATGTACGCCTCTGTGCTGCTGGGGCCTTTGAGCTGATCCTCCATGAGGTAGGTGTTGTGAGAGGAGGAGATGAAGTAGTGGTTGAGGGGCTGGCTCATATCCTGGTACACATCCTTGTGGTCTGGATTCAGAATCATGGCATCTGGGTGATTCAGGTACATGAGGAAGCCATCTTTGGACAGCAGCTTCTTCTCCTTGGCTGAAAAGACACACATACACACCAAATGCAGCAGATCAGTCTACAGTGCATTTAAAAAACAACAACAACAAGAGGTCAGTAATTTATCTGTGGACAAACTCCATGAGACTCTTAATCCCAGAGACATCTTGGACAGAAAGAAGCGCAATTTCAATAATAGATCTGAGTTTTTCTACATGATAAAGAAATGCTGTTGTAAAAAAAGAAACACATTTGTCAGCAGGACTCTTAAACTGTAAGAAATAACCGTAAAATCAAAAAAAAGTTCTGGTAGCACATCGGCCAGACTGTTCTACAGTGGAGTCAAAAAACAACAAGATTTCTGTTGCTTCATTGTTTGTGGATTGGTTAATTAATTTACTGCAGCATGACTGGTTGAGGTCTTTATCATTAGGAGAAACTATACTAACAACAAAATACAGTTCACATTTTCCAAAGCCATCCACTGGGCTGGATTGGTGTCTTTACTGGGCCAATTCAGGCTCTCGGACCTTATGTTTGGCACACTTGTTTTAGGATGTTCCTGCAGGTGTGAGACCAGCTTGAGAAAATTATATTTCCCTTGTTAATATTTCATACTGAGGTCGAAGGTAAGACTACCTTATTGAGAAGAATACAGACTAATCAAATGAATGAAGGTTACTTCTGCTTATATTGTGGCTACAATCCAGGTTTGACATTACATGAAACTGTTGCTTAGATGCATATTCACACTTCCTGTTCCTAAACCAGCTTTGCAGAAGAAAACCTCTGGAAATCCAAAATCTGTACGATTACTATGTAGTAGTAGTCATGTGACCAAAGTCTGAAATTTATGATTACCATCTCACAGCATGATTGCAGCTATATCTACATCTACTGGGAATGCAGATATGAAGGTACGAAGCAGTAATACACTGACACTCATGAAAAAGACAAAACAAACCCAGATAGCAAAAAAGAAATGTTTGAAATTCCAACAAAGAAGAAAATCTAGTCCTCCAGCTGTGGCGAACATACCAAGGAAGACAAAGCTTTGAGAGAAGCAGAGGAACATACATCATAGCATCTCTTTCAACAGCCACTATGTTCAATCTTTGTCCATCAAAGTTTGTGCATATTCCAAGTTTATTAGATTGGAAGACCTGACATGAATGAACTTACAAGATTAGCAAAAGGTCGCAGTGTGTTGGAGCCTTAGACTCGGGCTGCCATAGACTGCAATTCCAGAGGAACAGAACGCAGAATAATACACAGCTGGAAACCACGAGCTTGAAAACAGTGGTTTTTAACCCTGGTAACCATATGCAGTTAGACCATTCACGGGATACAGCTCACTGATTTTTACAGGAAGAAAACCAGCAGAGCTGCGGTCCTGAGAAGACCTGAAACAGGGCTGTGTACTGACCGTTTTCATCTGGCTCATACGTCTCGATGATTCTGTGCGCATCAGCCAGCGTTGCTTTCTCCCTCTGTTCTTTCAGCAGGAAATCCACCAGGTTCTGAGCGCTCATAAAGCCAGTGGTTTTGGCGTACTCCCCATAGATAACATCAATTTCGTCCCGTTGGGTCAACAGATCATAAAAGTGTTTGATCTCCTCTCCTGCCAGGGTTCCAGACTTGGACCTGTCACATTTCTGCATTGGGGGAAAGTAACACAAAGATTAGTCAACATTTTAAGTTGAAAATAATGCACTATAAAACTATTAAAAGCTGGATTTGCTATTAACAATAAAGAAAAAAATATGTGGGCTAAAATATCAAGTTAGCACTGATTTCCTCTTGGAGCATTTCATTAGAGTTTCAATGGATTACTACAGCTTAGCTAGGAAGGCTCCAAGAATATGCTTTAAAACAGTTTCTGCCATTAGGAAACATTAAGAAGCTCTGAGGAAACAACCTTGAAAAGCATTTCCACGTATTCATCATCCACTTCGATGTTGATCAGATGCATGAAACTCTTGACCTCTGACGGACTCAGGTTATCATCTTTGTTCTTGTCTGCTTTCCTCAAGCAGCTGAAGATCCAGCTGGAAGGTTTGTGATTTAAGGTGGAGATAAACAGGTACCTGTCACTCAGCGCTGTCCAACTGAATGTGACTTATTTACTTATACCACCTTTGCTTAGCTAAGCTCAGGATAGATTAAAGAGGACCTGGAGTGCTTTTGTCCTTTTTTCTGTCATATATACTTTTATAGTGGTGGATGAGATGCTCATATTACACAAGGTCACAGTTTTAAATAATGAATCAGAATATGTGAAATAATCTCTGAGCACTCGTTTGAGCATTTGTTTTCCCACGGCTCTGTTGGACAGCCAAACAAGAAGAAAAAAGACGGCAAACATGGAAGGTGGCCTTAAAGGGAGCGGCGCTAAAACGGCTTCAAACTTACACGCACCACGGCTCTGCACAAAATAAATAAATAATAAATTAATTAAACTATCAATAAGGCAAAGTCATTCTAGTGGAGCCAAAAGGTGAAAATAAGGTGCAGGAACATCTTATGCGATAGGTGATGACCAATGAAGTCTTAATAACAGGTTATTAACAAACAGCCACCTGTTTGAGCTCAGCTTCAGCTTGCTCACAGTACAGCTTCCACTGTCGTGTAAAAGGATACTGCTCTGTCTTCTGCTTTCGACTCAGGTTGTTTAGGTTGGAGACCACTTTCTGCAGGCTTTTAACCCACTGCTTTCCCTCCTCCTCCGAGCTGGAGACGAGGTCCAGGTTCTTGCGGCGGCTCTTGAAAATGATGGAGAAGCAGCGGTCCTCCACCTGCTCCTCCGTGTTCTTCTTCAAGCCCTCCGACTGACGGCCCATTTGCACCGCCGAGATGTCATCAAGCGAAACTGAAGACAGAACGAATTTTATGCAACATTCATTCATTTTTTAAAAATCCACTTCCTGTCATTCAAACATGTAGCATGTGGCACACTGCTGAAAAGCAACACTTTATTTTCAAGCACACGTACAAGCCTGATGTTTGCAATTTCCCCTGCCTCCCACTGAAGTCAGTAATGAGCGGAGACGTTGGATGTACATGACTATGTGACAGCAGTTTCTGGGTGTCATCCAAGCAGAAAATACAATAAGAGTTATTTCTAACCACTCCCACTCCACAACACACTATAAAATAAATCACTATCTCTACAAACACACCCACACCGCTATCAGGAGCAACCCAGATGTGTATGATAATACCAAGGACTTTGTGTAGCTTTGTGATCAATCCAGTCCTTTTATAATCCACAAAGTTTTGGTTGTGGCGGGAGAGGAACTCCAAAAGTGTTTGCTAATGCAAAGTAATAAAAAGTGTAAAGTAAAGAGACGGTGTGAGATTAGACAGATGTGTGCCAGGGGTTTGCACATGTGTGGGTTTTCGTCACACATATTCTGCTGGGAAGACAGGGCAGCACTCACAGGTATCATTTTTCTTGAAGGTCTTCTTGGATTCGCGCCACATTGTCTTGCAGTCCTCCTGGAGCCTGAAGTAACGAGTCTTCTTCCAGCTTGGGGAGAGGACCTTCAGGAGGTCTCCCCCCTTCAGGAGAAACTGGAGGTCGGGATCACCCTCCAAACCTGAGGAAGCAGGGAACAGAAGACCACTTTAGAGAAACTGCAGGAAAAGTGCAAACGCTCAGAAATCACAAGCAGGCCATCATTAGAAAGTCATAAAAGTTCATGGCTTTGCAAACACACGCGCACACAAAAGGTTTTACGCTGTGACAACAACGTAGCAGCAGTCTGACCCTGGATAACAGTTTGGTTTCGTCCGCTTGGCAGCGCAGCCTACCTAGGAGCTTTACGTTCATTTGTATCACCTTCTGGCCCCTGGCATACTGGAGTAACTCCTCAGACCTGCTTTTCTCGGGTTCTTTTCGTATGCACGACATGGTGCCACCCGGAGCTGCCGACACTGTCTGTGTTCACAAGGCACTGTGTGGAGGAGAAGGGCGTGTACCATTCCCACTCAAAGTTCACTCAGCTCCGTCACGTCCCCTTGAGTTTACAGTCAGCTGACAGCTTGCTCGTGCAGGAACACTACCGCGGAAAAGGAAGCGACTCCATACTCTTCTGTTTGAATATTGCTCCTGTGTTCATTTTTCAGCATTTGATCAGCATTCCCATACTCACTGTTAACTTCAGACGTTTTAATTAGCGTAAATTACCTGCTAGCAAATAAAAGCAGCCACAGGGCACAATTAGCGTCAAATGCCTCGCATACGTTAGTTTACAAAAGATTTGACTTTGAGCAGAGGAGTGGTGTCAAACATGCGGCTCCGGCCCTCAATCCGGCCACCGTGATGGCTTTGCAAAATGTGACAACTGCAGTGACATCATTAATGACTGGTGTTTTTCAATAATACATACCGCCTTTCATTTTATGGTGCTGTTGGAGGGGTTGAAGTACTTCCATACAATTAAAAAGGAAAATTTTGTTTGTTGTTGGTCAGAACCACCCGAGGCTCAAATGGGACTGTATGTGATGCATATTTCTTGTGAAATTGCAGCGCTATTATTGCTTCTCCTCGCGGTGGTCAGTGGCTTGCTGCTAGGAAGCTGTAAATAGGCTGAGATTTTTATTTATTTATTTATTTATTTATTTTAAGCTGAACTAATAGGAGGCTTGTAATATCAGAGTCCAAGAATATAACATCATTATTATTACTACAAACACAGGTTTGATACCTGCACTGGAGCCTGCCTAGTGTTGACTTCTGCATTAGTTATCTTATGGGCTCCATCTAGTGGTGACAAGGCGGTACTGCTAAGCGCCGTGATTTAACGCCACATTACTAAACTTCTCATTATTAAAAATAAAATAAAACAAGCAAACAGGCCTGCGATTACAGGACAACAAGCAGTTTTCCTGTAATATTTCCTCGTCCCTAGCCTCTATAGTGGAATGTGAAAGGCTGATTTGACTCTACAAGCAGTACGTCCACCGCCTTAGTTTGGTAACATTTCCTTGAGCTTGCAGCAAGGTGAAACCGAGCTGAATGAGAGGTGCCACACCTTTTTGAGTGTTTAAATGCACACAGTTGATTGTCTTGGGATTTTTCGCTAGATTAAGCGGCAAAAAACAAATAACAATAAGAGTAAAAATAATTATACATAGGACCGATATATTTCAACGCAGAAAATTAGATTTTTTAAATGTAAGGTATAAAAAAAAAACCTTTGCTGACATGTAATCTTTGTCTTAGGGATTATCGGATTTGGAAAACAGTGGAAGTTGGCCAAATCCAAGAAAGGCACAGTATATTTTAACATGGTGACTTAATCCAAAATGCATCCTACCTTTAAGTTTATTTTCGAGCCCGTTCGTTTCCATCCCGTCTTGAGTTCACTCCACTTTACGCAGCCCAATATTCCACTCACTTCATGCAGCTTCTCGTGAAAAGTTGCCGCTTCTTTCTTCCATATACACTGAACGGAAACCTGTTTTTGTTTTTGTTGCTGCTGTTGGTTTGTTTTTTTTATAAAAACAGGCTTCTGCCAAGTTTGGGTACAAGGCGAGCGAACGCGGGCACACGCGTGGGTTTCTCCTTGCAGTCTGAACGGTGTCAGTGACTCCCGCGGGCTTCAACACCGGTTTGACGAGCCTGCCATTCAAGCCGCGGTGCTGATGTCACAGCAGGTTAGACCTTTAGGCGAGCTTCTGCCATCCTGCATCGATGGGACTGGTTAGCGTGACCTTGTAGCCAGCATGCAGAGCTTACGTCGTTATTAGCTGAAAGGTTTCCGCGCACCTGCAGCCAAAAATTGGGGGAAACAATCCCGCATACCTTTTCTAATTCTGTTGTATGTACACAAGACTTAAGCTACCACTCCCTGAGCCTCGGAGTCTATTCCTCACCAAAAGGTAATTCTGCATGTGAATAAACAGGGAGGGGTCGTTCATTTGAGAAGCATGCAAGCTTAGATAACCCGTGGAAATACAATCAACTTCTGCTAAAGCCCTTTGCAGTGTTTTTTTTTTGGACACCTGTTCCTCTTTTGAAACTCCACCAAGGGGCTGAATAGCAAATTTGGCTAACTGCCACTACGCATAGCCTAGTTTTCTTTTCTTTCTTTTCCCTTTTTTTAAAAAAAACTGTGACTTTGAGCATATTCGTTGCACTGAATGGGGCAGATAAAGTTTTCGCCCTTTTCTGTTCATGCACAGCTTTCCTTTGGAGAGATAAAAGCCCTGCAATCACTGGTGTGCTGGGGCTCCTGTGGCTCTCAGCACTTCCCTTTCAGGCCTGGCTTAGACTCAACGCACTGTCAGCATTAGGATGAGTGAGCTTTCATGCACCATCACGAGGGGATGACACCTCCAAAATCTACGCAGGGACCGGGGGTCGGGAAAACAGGCGGTGTGGGGAGGGGAGATAAGATTAAAAATTAAATAAATAAATAAATAACCGTGACTAGATTTGCAGAGGTCAAGATTTATGGTTACTAATGAACTCCACACTGCTATTACTGTAAAAGACAAGACAGTGAGTTCTTTAGCATTTACTTTCATATTTAACTTAAGTCATTGCATCAAAGGTGGGCGATAAAGTACCAAGTGTGAAACCAAGGAAAATGAAACTTTCCAAGAACTTTAACCAGATAATGAAAATCAACAAAAAAAACAAACGAAGCAGATATCATGAGGCTTCTTTCAGTGGTACAAGCTGTCTCTGCTTCGTGTCTGTGCTTGCAAAACAAGCAGGAACAGGCCCAGCTGTTTCCTCACATACCATTGATACCATCCATAGTTTTGCTTTTCCCCAAAACACCCCCTGTGCAGTACGGGTGCTGCTTTACTCACAGACTGTGCAATGCCTGGTGTTACCAGAGGACATAGTCAGCAGCAGGAATCCAGACAGGAAACATTTTGTATGAAAGAAAGAATGACAGAACTACAGAAAGAGATGTTTGTCTGATGTTTTACCTGCAGTACATAGTTTAAAAGTCACCTTTATCTGTTTACAGTTCCACGGCACAGCACACAGTACACCTGGTTCTCATTATCGCTGCAGTGTTTCAACATATGAATGTTATAAACTGCTAAATACCTCAAACAGGTTGTCTTTTAAACCCAGTCTATGGTATTTTTGGGGTTTGGTATTGGCCATTAGATTATACAGCTACATAAGAACTGTAATTAATTTAAAGTATTTTACTTCAACTTTATTCCAAGAAGGTTTTAGACCAAAATTATACATTTTTTAATCAACATTTAACATGTAGGAGTTTACAAAGATAACCCATTGACGTCAACTGAACAACCCTGCTTTTTGCAAATCACTTTAAATTAATGCCACCTGGCCACTCACTACGTCATTCTTTACTTGGCATTTACAAAAACATGACTGTGGAATGTCACTGACATCCAACGCGTGATAAAGTATCTAAAATGGCTGCATCCTTTGTTTGATCACTTTGACTTGAGCTTGGTTGAAAACATCACAAGGTCAAGGAAAGGTTTGAAGGGGAATTAATAAGGACTTAGGAAAGGAGACCTCTGTAAGAGAAAATCTGACTCTGAATGTCAAACAATCTTCCCTCATTTATAAAATTCTCTTCTTCTTTGGAAACCTTCAAATCAAATTTGAAGACCAACCTATTTTCAAAGGCCTTTGGATCTCTTTGAAACTGCGTTTATTCGGTCTTCGTTATTTTGGTCTTTTATCTCATTTGATAATGTGTATATGTGTACATGTATTCATGTCCTGTGTGTGTGTGTTTATGTTGTATATACATATATACTTGTATAGACATGTGTATATAAGAGTTTGCTTGTGTGCATACATATGGATGTTTTGTAATGGGTTTTTTTTACCTCATTTATCTTAATTTTTCTTTTATTTGATTACATTGTGCCTCTGTAAACGTGCTATACAAATAAAGCTGACTTAACTTGACTTGAATGTGTGCTTTGTTTAGACTACAATATCGAGACAATGGACTACAAAATGTGTGTCTTACTTCAACCCAGTGTGCTCTTACTGTGTTGTTCGATGCAGGTCAAATTAAAAACAAAGATGTAGCCAATAAAATGGAATAAATCCTATTAGTATTAATTTACTGCTAGAGAGATGAGCCAGATGAACTCATTGTCTCCTCTCTGTTTAGGATTTCTGTGAACTGAAGTTAAAAAAGGCATTATAATCCTAGGTTGGCAATACGCAAATAGATATTTGTAAAAAGTTAATACAATAATAATCTGAATTTACATGGCTTATATAAATCATTTTTTCCCTCTCCAGTTGTGTAATACTTTAACTGTGAGCTGTTATTGAAAATTCAAAATATAGCAGGTTATAGAAATGGAAACAGCACATACAGTAAACTGTCGTCATTAACAGAATGGTGTTTTTGTATAAATTATGAGATGGGATTATCTTCTCACCAAGGTTCAGTGGCATGCTAAATTCTTTTTAATTTACTTAAAGAAGATATGTAAAGTCGTTCCACAAGTAACAGCTTAAATTTATTTGAGTCATTTGTGATGTTATTGTGTTTTGGCAGGCTTATTTAATGGCTTTTTGCTGAGTCAGTTCAGCGTTTTAGGAAAAAACACGGTCAGTTTTTAGGAGTTATTAGCACAGTTTGGTGGAACAACTTGATAAAACTTTTTAAAGTAAAAAAAACACTTTTTACTGCACTGTATTTCATTGAAGTAACATAAATTACTCAAGTAACCTAAAAAAAACAAAACAAAACACACCCTATGTTCTGCTATTTATCGCGACTTCATCGTGACAATGGGAGTGAGTCACATTCCCCTCATTAGCACCCCCTGCCGCCCATAACTGAAAACTATTCTGAATGTGCGGGTAAAATTGATTGAAAGAACTATAATATCCGTAAGCATACTAAACCCATTTTCACTTAAAATCTATTAAAGAAAACTATACATTTTGCCTTTGTTTAACTAAACGTCCTTAAAGTTTTATACCTTGCCCCACTCA